GTCTGCCTCCTACTTTACAGAAGAATTGGCTGCCATCAAGTAAGACTGTCTTTACCTTCATTGCGCTGTCTACAAACTGGCTGGCGTTTACCTGGGGAAGATGAAGCGTCTTTGTGTAAGACGGATGCCTCCATCTGTATTTGGAAACCCATTCTCCAGACACACCTAAAACCACCTTCTGGAAGAGGGTCCCCTCTCTTTTATCCTGTTTCACTCTTCATTCTTTGTCTCTCTAGCTTTCTGAACTCTACTTGGGTTTGAAAGTGAATGGTTTATCTATGAGCTTCTGGTCCTTATACCAAGCCTCTTGCCCCACAGAATGCCTGGAGGATGCTGCGGTTCATGGTATGCCGCATTAGACGTTTCTCTGGAAGTGACTCCTCCATCCCCTCCAATGCCTCACCCAGGTCCTGTGGCTCCCCCTTTGTGCTGCCCCTGATGAGCTGTTTCACCCTACACCTTTCTAACACACTCTCCCTTTCCTGCTTCCATTACATCCCACCTTCCTTCTCAGGCCCCTTTCTATCTTTACCCTTGACTCTTCTTGCCCTGCATCTCTTAATCTATTGTGTCTTTTTTTAAAATGGTGCAGCCTGTTATTCGCTTCCTTTACACTCCTCTGCTGTTTCAAAGGCCGCTTCAGAATTACATTTTTCCTGCTTGGTGTGACAATACAGCTCTTTGAAATTGGGTCTATTTTCTCTCCTAGACAATCACAACGTTCCCTTCTCTCAATCATCTCCCTTTGGCCTTGCCCTGGGTGAGCTTCATTTTCTAAAAGTTGGTTATAACTATATATAGTGATACCCTGTTTTATATATTTTTATATATTTGTCTGAAAGCCGCGCAAGCATTCTTAAACATTAGTTGAGATGTTACATTGCACATTTTAATGAAGAAATGTGTCACTGGAAATTTTTCTAACTTTTTAACCCTTCTCCATTTTAGTTCTTGAATGTGACCACTAATAATTTGACTTGTCGATAGTAATTGCTGCCAAGGCAAGTAAAATAATATCCTCGGATTGTCAAAGAAAAATAACCGCCAACTTAGAAGTTCATCGCCGACATCACTGTCACTCAAGAGAGGCTGGTTGAAAGCCATATTTACCAATGCCTGGAAAAATCACTATTCATGGGGCTTTACCACACAACTACTGAAGGATTTGACTCAAGAGGACAATTAAACAGAAAATGAGCAGTAGGAGACAGTGAGCAGGGATATTTCCCATATTTTGGTAAATGAAAATTCATGTCAATTGTAAAAAAAAAAGTAACAGTAAAACTGAGAAACCAAAATAGCTTTTTTAAAGTAAAATTGAAATAAGAAAGAAAAATAGTATAGAGATGGAAATGGGAAATCAGAGTGAAAAAAATTGCAACAATTTTTGTATTGTTTGCAAGACATATGTTAAGACAGGAGATTCACAAAACTGTGCGTGTATTAAAGGATTAAACTAATCACAAATCAGTAAAGAAAAAAGAAACAGCCATTAACAAATTCAGCCAATAAGAGAAAGCAAGAAAATAAAGAAACACAAATAGAAATGCATGAAACAATGTGACAAAGCATGACACAAATCAGTCATCGTGAAGCTTTGAGCGAGATGTCAGTTTGTTAAAATATTAACATTTCATATGAAATATTCACGATGTCAAATTAATGCTGAAAAAGAAAGGTGGCGTTGTATTGACCTCTACTAAAAGACGCCAGCACACGGGTGGGCGCGGACAAATGAGGAGGAACCCTGCATGCCGGTCAGCAAGATGGCTCAGTGGGTCAGAGCGCCACGAAGCCTGGCGACCTGAGGACAAGCCATGGAACCCATATGGTGGGAGGAGAGAAATGACCGAGGAAGAATGATCACACAAGTCTAAAGGTAGCCTGGGCCACAAGATGAGGCCAAGACTAGCCGAGGCAACTTAGTAAGACCTCGTTTCAAAGTTAAAAGTATAAAGAAGTTTGGGGATCAGCTCAGTAATGTGTAGATTATCTGCCATGCAAGTGGCTGGGTTAAATCCTAGCACAGAAAAAAGACAAGCATAGCAAAAATTAAACAAGTTTTCCATATGTATGTATACATTACATATATATATGATTTAGTATTTAAAGTGAAAAAGAATTCTTATATCTGTAAGAAAAGTGAACAAAAAAATTTCTAGACTAAGAAGGGAGGAAGGGGGGAGAGAGGGGAGGAAATATCAGGTGTTCAAAACAGGATGACGGCTCATATTGTTTGTGACTGAAGGCACAGGCAGTTGTCAAAGGGCATTAGTTACATGTGCGAAGTTGTGAATCCTCAGTACTGGACTGCTGAGCTAGGGCTTAATTCAGCAGTCAGGAGAGAGTCACTGGTGGTTTCCAAAGGGTAGATATCAAGAAGACTCAGGGAGGAAGGTACTTTCTGCCCAGCCTGACACCCCCACCCCAGATCCCTGGGACCTGCACAGCGGAAGGGGAGAACCAGCTCCCACAGGTTCTCCCCTGACCCCCACATTCATGATGTGCTGTGCATGTGCCCACACATATACATACACATGCACATAAATAAATACATGTAATCAAATGGAAAGAAAGGTATATTTAGGTTGTGCAAGTTGAAAATGTATGTATGTATGAGCAGGGAAAGGAACAGGCAATAGCATTTATACATTAGCAAGTTACAGCTTAGTTTCAAAAGAGTCATTTTGTCCAAGTAGATAGAAGATGAGTGGAATGAGAGACAATGAGAAAGTGGAGAGGGAGAGAGCAGATTTCATTCAAAATGGGGTGGTCAAAGAAAGCACAAAAACAGGATGGGGTGGGTGGGTATCAGGGCTGGAGGAGTTGTTCTTTTGCATGATAAGAAACACAACACACACCAACAACCAGGGAGCCGGCCTGGGACCGGCCTAGGCCCTCTGCATAGATGTGACAGTTGTGTGGTTTGGTCTAGTTGTGGGACTCCCAAGCGTGGGAGCAGGGCTGTCCCTGGTGCTTTGGCTGGCTCTTGGGAACTGATTCCCCATGCTGGATTGCCTTGCCCAGCTAGAGTACAGGGGGAGGGACTTGGTCTTGTGGCAGCTTGATATGCCAGGCTTTGCTGATGTCCACGGGTGGCCAGCCCCTTTCTGAGCCAATGCACAGGAGGGGTGGGTGGGGAGGGGAGGGGAGGGGGGGAGTAGAAGGAGAGAAGGGAAGGGAGGCTGCGGTTGGGATGTAAAATAAACAAATTAATTATTAAAAGAAGAAACATATACATATACTTAGGACCGGAGGGAAGATGGGAGAAAAGAAGAGAAGGCGGCAAACAGGTCCTGAAAGAGGAAAGCCCTACAGTTAGAATTAGTGCATGGGACCGAGAGGAGCTAAGCTCCCCTGCGCTCAGGAGAAAAACTGCATTCGCCTTCGGGATGAGAACACAGCAAGCAGACAGAGAATAGTTACTGTTTTAATGTTTATCGCCAGTGGAACTTAAATTAGAGATGCAGAAATAGGAAGATCACACATTGAGACTGGTCTCAACTCTTCATAACGAGGGAGGTTAGCTACTGCGAAGGCAGGTGGTAGAGGCGGCAGCAGACTCTGAGGGGAGGCATACAGGGCTTCCTTTCAGCTGTGGACACTCCTGCTGGAGCTGAAATCTGAGTGTGGAGACCATGTGAACCCAGAAAGCTCTCGGTAACTTTAAGGATGTAGGACTCGCCGGCATGTGTTACTCTGCCGAAGTTTCCCTCATAAAGAAAGCTTGGTTCCCCCCAAATTCATATCTACAGGGAAATAAATAGTTCCTCAGAAATATTAATATGTTAAAAAACAACTCTAATAATGTAGGCCAACATCCACCGAAGAGTGCTCCTCCCTAGCCGCAAATGAACTGTGACTAATTAGCCGCACACCATTCTTTTACAGGATCCTAAAGGGTGCCAAGTGTGGGGACGACTGACTAAGGGCCCAATGGAAATGTGTTTTCTTTTAAACAGGCTATGGAAGAAACCCGAAACACTGAAGTGGTGAACATTTCAAAGGAAACAGTGGAAGGGAGCCAACCTCCCAGGCACTCGCTGGAAGGAGTTCAGGAAGGTTTGTGTGAGGTTCTGTCCCCTCTTGTCTTAAAATAAGTCACAAGAACATGACAAAAGTGTGTCATGTTCCAAACAATTTAGAAAAAGAACTCTTTCAAACTGGATTCAACTAGTTAAGTTGCTGATGGTAAATTACATGCTGCTAAGTCAGGGATCTGCCAACTACAGTCAGAGTTGGCCCCATCCAAAGCACTCTTTGCTCGGTCTCCCTCCCTCCCCATGGCTTCATTTTGAATGATTACATAAGTACCTCCATAACATCTTTGACTGTGACTTCTGGCCAGGAAAGACTTAAATATTTATGACTTGGCCCTTTACAGCAGAAATTTGCCAACTCCTGAGCCAAATGATCATAAAAGAAAAGAAAAGGCCATATTATTAGGAGGGTGAGGTATATGTGGAATATAGTTAAGCTTTTTGTCCACTGGTATTAATCCATTCATACTATTTTATCTGTTATACTGGGGTATCTGTCCCATATTTTATCACTTAACTTTGTAGTGACTTAAAAATAAATCAGTTCAAAGCATTTGCAGATGATTGGCACGAGCGTGCAGATTTCATCTCTGATCCCGAATTGCTTTCTGGCATTGGTTGGGGCTAAGGTAATTGTAAAATAGATCAATTGAGCACATGGGGAGAGGCAGTGCCATAAGACGGATGCGCTGTGCGTGCCGATGACTAAAGATGGGGTGTCCTGGAGCCGAATCAGCCTTCTACAAAACGGACTCAACGTGATTGACAAGATTAACTCGAGGTAGACCAAAGAGGGTGGGCCTTTGCAGAGCGGGACACAGAACGAGATAAGCTGTCCAGAGACAGGGCCGAGCTGCTTCCAAGTCTATAAAAGCAGAGACACACGGTGCCTTCTTTGTGTAAACCCAGGACCTACTCACATTACGAGGCGGAGTGAGAAAGCTGTGGGATAGCAGTTACCTCACATGTTCTGGGTCCTGGGCTCCATCCTCAGCACTAAAACGCAAAAAGCAAAAACAAAAAAGAAAACCCTCAACATTAAAAGGGCACAGCAAAGAGGCAATAGTAGCACAAAATCTATGGGAGTAACCAACCACTTTCCGGGGGGGGGGGGGGTTTAAAAGCCACTCCACAAGATGGAGTCCATGCCTGGGACTTAGTGGGCCAAATTCTGTGACTTATTAGGTAGGTCATAGGCCCTAAGGAAGGTTGGCATGGTGATGATCTGGCCCCTAAGTTCTTACCATTAGACCCATATATTAGTACATCTCCCAACACTCATCCGAAAAGCTTTTGCAGCAGACGGCCATTAATAGAGACTCACAACTGTCAACACATAGAAAAGGAAGAGACTGTGGAGTGCTCAGCTCCCAATGGGACATCTATATCACATTCCTCCCCACAAGGCAGAAGGATCATCATGGAAGAGGGGTGGGACAAGAAGGACTGACAGCCAGGAGTAGATGTCTGCAGCCAAACAGTGTTTGCTGAGCATGACAGCTCAATTGTATACATGACCTCATAGTAGCTAGGACTGTATGTACAAGATCTGCACAAAGTCAGGCCAACCAAAATCCCAGCTCAGTGGGGGCGGGGCTCCTGACACTCTACCCTACCTAAGGAGCTATTGGCAATTGAGGGCTGCTAGGGAAGAGGGTTTGTCTTTTGTTCTCAGATGTGGGCCCTGAGAAGCTGCCTATGCTCCTGTAGATGGTCCCACACCCGTACCCATCACATGCAGATAGCACTGAGTGGACTCGGGATACAGAGACAGAAAGACAGAGAAAGAAAAAAGAGAGAGTGCGCACATAAAGCTGAGAAAAAAAGTGTGGCAGTGGAAGAAGGGGTAGACTCAAAGAGGAGGGAATAGAGAGCAGATTTGACCCAAACCCAGTAAATAAAGTGTTTAGAAATATTTCTGAAAGCTCTTCCAATTACATGCTCACCTTCCAAACGATGTTTCCCTGTGTGGAGATGAATGAGTTCTCATGATTTTATTCATTTCGGTTAAAAGCTGGGGTCTCAGGCATGACTGCCATTGAGAATTTCCACAGCAATCGCTAAGAAGGAAATCCTATAGCTGTATCTGTAGAAGGCGGAGATGGTTTGTATCGTGAATGTCTCCCAGGACACGTGTGCAAAGCTTTTCCTCTGAGATGGAGCTATTGGGAGAAAGCAAGGCCTTTATGAGATGGGCACAGTGGGAGAACGTTAGGTCATTGAGAGGGGTTGTGGGGCCTCGGCCTCTTCCTCTCCATTCTGCTTTCTGGCCATGGGGTCAGCAGCGTCTTTACTCCATCGTGTGTTCCTGTCATGTACTGCCTCGCCATGGCCCTAAAACCAATGGTCTGTCCAAGAATGTAGTGGAATCTCTAAAACCCTGTGCTCCAAAGGAAAGAGGAACACACACACACACACACACACACACACACACACACACACACACACACACACACACACACCACCTCTCTGACATTAAACAAATAAATATTTGTTACATTCTTGAAACAACATTTTCCCACCCCAAACAGTGAAACGACCTTTGCAGTATTGGGAGAAAAGAATGAAGTATGGAGTCAGTTTGCACAGAGGTCAGAGAGGTTGAGCGTTCCTGCCAGAGCTAGAAGTTTCTCTTACTTAGTGGGATCACTGGGGGCAGATGCAGTCTGACAGGACCAATATGGTGCTCCTATCACCCAGCAAAACCACTGAATTTGAACAGTTAGCTCATGTGCCCAACAGTGACCCTCAGGTAACATTTGCCTAGCATGTCACCCGATACACTCATGTGGAAATCACTGTCAGATATTCCGAGACAAACTCCATCTTCCCAAACGATGCAGGAAGGACAGAGTGCCATGTGAGACCTAACTTCACATGTGTAAACTTTGAGCATATAAAAGTGCCTTGATACTGTGGGTTGAGCTGCAGTTTTGAGAACAATCCCCCTTTCATTATGACCGCCATTACTAACAGCGAACTTTCTCAGCATTCTGCTCTCTGTTCTGCTGGATTTCACACCCTTGCAGCAACGATATTCTTTACCTCATTTTGTAGATGAGGGAAGTGAGGTGCTGAATCTGCTATAAGGATCACACTACTAATAAATGGAGAACTGGACTTCTGACATCAATGTAAGATTGAACTATCAAACCCAGACAAGTACCAATATATCCCAAGCATGAGCAATGGAGCAGGAGCATTTAAGAATGGGCTGGGTAAGGTTAGGGATAGTTATCATATTGCAGTATTGAGAATGAACAATCACCTTTCATTGTCTACTAAAACGATGTATTAATCATCTTGATGATATTCTTGCCCTTATTTGTATACTGCTAGAGTCTTGGGTTTCGGGACAGGTGCGTCAGAGTCTCATTTTAATTCGGTGACAGGAACTGGCTTTGTTTATGCCTTTCTTGCTCATGTTATCATCAGTGCCGAGAGGACAGATTCATTTGGTGTCATCCCTTGTTCTCATTACAACCTTTATCACAATAATACGGTACAGTACTGGAGTTTTAATGGCCCATATATCCTGTGAATCATGATGGTAATAAACTATAATGCTTTGACCTCAGCTCTTTAATATTTGATACATTGTTCCTTCCTAGCTGACCTAGCTCCCTCCTTCCCTCATGCTCCTTGGACAGGGACGAGATAGGATGGATAGCCACTCAAAGTAAAAAAAAAAAAAAATTAGCAAGTGGATTATACCTGTTTATAAGCCTATTTAGTGTGGATAGTCATTCATGTTCTAGTTCAGAAAGGACAAATCACTACTTCTCCTTGTAACGGAGAATACAAAGAGGGCATGAAATAGAAAGCCATGGATCCGGTCTTGTTGTGAAGAGTTGAAAGTGACATACCATCATTCTGGAGATAGCGGCTACACAAGAGCCCAGAAGTGCTGCCGAGGTAGCCTCCTCTCTCCTCCAGGTAACTGTAGGGGTTTGTTGGCAAACGGAAAGGTTTTAAAAGGTGGAGGCTGAGCAGATGGCTCAGCCAGTAAAAGGCTTGTCATGCAAGGAAGAGGACCTGGGTTCATGTGCCCAGCATCCACGTGAAAAGCGGGGTTTAGTGTGACCTTGTAATTTCCAGCAGGAGAGGTGGAGACAGAAGGATCCCTGTGGCTAGCTGACCAGCCAGTCTAGCCAAATAAGAGAGCTCCAGGTTCAGTGAGAAATCCTATTTCAAAAACTAAGGTGCAGAGTGACTGTGGAAGACTTCTGATGTCAGCCTTTGACATCTACATGCACACACACACACACACACACACACACACACACACACACACACACACCTGTGCGTGCCACAAAGGAAAAATATTAAAAGGTAATTCAAAAGCAAATTCACCATCAAAAAAAAAAAGCCTCATTTGTTGGTTGTTTTTTCTCTTTTGGGAGGCCTGTCACCCAGCTCCCAAATAAATCACACGCAGAGGCTTATTCTTAGTTATAAATGTCCAGGCTTGGCTTGGCTTGGTTTGTTTCTTGCCAGCTTTCCTTAACTTAAATTATCTCATCTACCTTTTGCCTCTGGGCTTTTCCTTTTCTTACTTCTGTATATCTTACTTTCACTCTTACTCCATGGCTGGCTGGCTGGCCCCTAGCATCCTCCTCTCCTTGTTCTCTTGCTCTTTCTTCTCCTTCCCAGATTTCTCCTTCTGTTTATTCTCTCTGCTTGCCAGCCCCACCTATCCTTTCTCCTGCTTCACTATTGGCCATTCAGCTCTTTATTAGACCATCTCAGGTATTTTAGGCAGGCACAGTAACACAACTTCACAGAGTTAAACAAACGCAACATAAAAGAATGCAACACATCTTTGCATCATTAAACAAATGTTCCACAGCATAAACAAATGTAACACATCTTAAAATAATATTCTACAACACTCATTATTCATTCAGAACTCACACCATGATTTAGGTGTGGCCCCGCCATGGGAGCTCAGCACTCATGGGCATAGCCATGTGATGTCTGGACAGAAGGACTCATTGAACTAAATATATGCTTCATAACTAGATCCATCACTGGGTGCTTTGCCTCAGGAGGTGGGAAACAAAGCTACAGTACAGTGACTCTCACCATGGCATTCCACGGCAATCAAAACACTGAGTGCTCCCCAAGAGCACTATGTGTCTGTCAGTTTTCCCACAATAGATCAAAATGAAAAAGCTTGACCCCAAGAGATTGTTGAAGAGCAAAAGAATCCCATGAGGACATAGAGTAGTCATGGCAGAGGGAGGTGTGCCCAAATGCCTTGGAAAGCTGACAGTGTCTGTTTGACCTTATTCTGTGCATCTAGAATCTCAATTTTCAATTACCCAGAGTCACCAAGGTTCAAGTTGATTCAGTCATGTGGATATTGCACAATGCAGGAGAGAAGACATCAACTTGCTGTGGGCCGCAGGAATATATCATAAGAACTCAGCTGGTTATG